TATAGATCCCATTAGACAACTGGATTTACAACAAGTTTTGTTTAATAAGAAATGGGCAAAGCCAGCTTCTTTTCAGAATCAAAATGCAGAACAAATGGAAAAGAAATTATGGTGTTGTACCTTCACAAGTTTGAGCCTCCACAAATAAAGCAACCAAGTTTTACAACTTTAAGAGCTTCTACATACACTCCACCTTCACTATTTAGCCCTCTTTGCCCCCAACATCTTATTGAGTTCCAAATGTTACAAAAAAGTCCTAGTTATTGCCAGAAACTTTTACCTCCCCCTCCTCCCCTCCCCACCCAAAAGCTTCATAGAGAGGATGGAGTGTAATATGGAGCTTTACATAATCTCATGGTATTTGAGGGCTACTAAGAAGCCTCTGCACGAATCTGGTTGCTAACATTTCTATCGTATTGTGACATGACTCACGACTGTTTCTTAGAAATTGGGGGATGGGGAAAAAGGAGAAAATTCTTTAATAAAAAGACACCAGGTACAAAGCAACGTTTTACTTTTGTTGTGGTAAAAAAAAAGTCACATTTTACAGATAAAATGTAGAACCCTGAAATACTGACACATTCTCTTATCGTGCACAATGCTGAGGTTCTCTTACGAATCACTTTAAAACTGCAATTAAAAATGTACAAAAAAAGAAAAGAAAAAAATCAACCCACAAAGCTTCTAAAAAAGGAACCCGCAGGCACTTCCTCTTGTGGAATGTTTAAAAAGTTAGCCTACTAAAGAAAACAGTCGACTTCTTGTGAAGGTTTTGGAGAAATATGTATCAGTTCATTTATTTGGGTATTCAATAATATCCTTGGTGATAATGCTGACTCCATGGCTTCTGACCCCAGAATTGCTGCAATAAATGAATAAATAGTTAGTTTTAACCTGAAATCACACAGGAAAAAAAAACACAGAAGCATTTAACAAAGTTCCAGTTCCCCTGGAACTTTGCAAGACTGAAGTCCTCTCCCATAACCGTAAGCTCCTGAACAACTGAAGGCAGTTATGAGCTCACAGCAGTAATGTGAAGCCAACTACTACATACCATTAAGACCATTAAGCCATAGCTGGTATTTGATCTATCAAGACCATCAAGCCAGATTAAGTTTTCCAGAGGAAACTATTTATAGTGATATTACCTAGCATTTAGATTTTGCTATCCAGTTTGGACTACACGTCCAATTATTTCAGTCAGCATTTTAAAACACTGAAGTTAGCAATCAGTAGAAAAAGGTAAAGCTGGGACTACTTACACCCTGCTGCCACTGGTTGTAGCCCTGAGATTGGTTTTTGTAGCCACGATTATTTCCCCTTCCTCTGAAGTTCTGCAAGAGGACAACAGTTTAACGACTTCATTTATATGGATTTTTCAGAAATGTACCGATACCAATCTTTATTACCTCTGAAACATCAGATACTGCACATAAGCTTTCAAATACAAGGTTATCAGCCCCAGGTTAAAGCAAAAACCCCCACAAAGCCCTCCCTGAAAAGCACAAGAATACCAAAAGCCTCCCCCCCCTCTATGCAACTGCTTTTTAAACATGGGGCAGGAATGTCAGACTTAAGTCAGCCAGTTCAGACTGTTGTTGCCAGTGGTCTGGAAAGCTGGCTAATCCAGTTTTGACTCACCCTATTTCCAGCTGCTAAACTGCACCAGGACAACTAAAAATACAAGAGCTTGTCTATTTTTAGTTAGAAAGGCTGTATTTGCTACAAGGATATGTTATCTGATCAGACAAAAGGATATGGGTCACACAACTGAAAATAGAAGAGCTAGCCCACAAAACTTCAAATAGAAGTTATGGTACAAGAAAAAGGGACATAGATACTAGTAGATAAAATACAGCATTTCCCTTGTTTGTCAGTATTGGGCAATCCTGAGCCATGTTTACTGGCTTGGGCTCCATCTGCTGGCTCTTCAGTAATCCAAATTTTGTTTTCCAATACTTAGCCACTGATATTCCACCAGGTAGGTCTTAGGCTAGTGTGTCTACTAGTTGTATTTGATACCAGACACGAAACAAAGACTCTGTGCAGAGTTGTTTCCAGAAAAGTTCCCCTAAGTGTTTGACAAAGATACACCTTGACCCTAAGGCCAAAACCCACTTACTACTGGGAAGGGATAAATTCAAACACAAGCCTTCACACATATGCCCTGAAAATCTTCATCTTGAATGTGAGAGGTACAGCATTACCATGGAACCCCCACATCACCATCAGCACATTCAGAGCCCTGGGCACATACGCTACCAGAAAGGCCTTGCAGTGTGGTATTAGTGTAGCACCACAACTAAATCTGTGCCTACTCAGAGCCACCACAACTTTCAATGGACATCATCCAAAGCACTGTAGTTCAACTAGTCAATCCCCCTGCCCAAAGCATCACCTGGTTGTAGTTTCCCCTGTTGGGCATTCCACCTCTGTTATAGTTTCCTCTGTTGGAGTAGCCACCTCTGCTTGGAAAGACAGGGCCACGAGGATACGGGTAGCCAATCGCACCACTGCTGCCACCGCCACCACCGCCACCTCCACCACCTCGCTGGGGCATGTTGCCTCCCCTCCTGTTGTATCCACCACGATTGCCAGGGACTGCAGGGAGAGAGTTACTTCAATCAAGTAACTGTTCAAAATAATGATAGTACAGAAATAAGATGTCCAAGTTCAGTGCAAAAATTTCAGTGCAAAGATTGTGTCATCTGGTCATAGTGAAAATGGTAATATAACCAAGTACTACTCCCAGTACAGTGTGGTCACAAGTAAACACCAAATCTAACATAAAAATCTCAAAGCTCTGCCTCAAACTGCATGAACAGTGCAATCCAGGATTTCAACAATCCTCTCATTTCAAGCTGGACTTACTGAAGTTGAAAACTAAGCTTCCACTACATAATAATTCTAATGCAAGTACTACAACCTTTCTTCCCTCAGCAGCAGCAACCTCCAGAACTCACACACTTATCTCTAGACTCACCTCCTCCCCTGAAGTTGCCTCGCATGTTGAATCCTCCACGTCCTCTCTGACCCCTATTAAACTGATTTTTATTGCTCTTCTTGTTCTTCTTTGAGCCAGTGTTCTGTTTCTTTTCTGGCGGAAGAGCTTTCTTACTTTCTTCTTTGTACTGTTCCAAAAGCTTCTGAGCTTCTTCTTTTTGCAACTCTACATAGATTATTTCATCAAAACATTCTGCTACCTCTGGCAGTGTGAAGTTCCCTATAATTGCAAAAACACTGAGTATTCAGCATCTACATTCAGCTACAATCAAAGCTGTAATTTAACCACCTTTCTCCCATCCTCCCTCCCACCCCCTGCATTCCCTCAGCATAGGGACAAGATTATATAATTGGAGCATTTAGGAAATGTTACAGTGACAAAAGAAATAAACAGGTCTTCATGGAGTTGCCAGTACTGTTCCAAACCTCAAGAACATTCTGCCTATATCTTTTTTTTCTTTTATAAGCCTCCACTCCGAATACCAGTTTCTGCCAAATATGTCACTTATATAGGGCACTTTATGCCAAGACAGCTTTGTGCATCTGCATGAAGCATATCAGCATAACTGAGTAGTGTTAAGGACTGCAGCAGAGGGAACACAATATAGTGTTATCCTACCAAGTTACAATAGTCTTCCAGTTTTGTTTAAGTACAGCTGTTTAAGATAAAGTGATTTTTTAGACTTCATGTTTACTTAATCCTTTAAACAGATACTCAGCATCCTAAAACACAGTATAGGATTATGTTCCATGCCTTTCATTTTGAGAACTGCATGCTCTGGAAGATCTTTTCCCTCCACCTCTGCCTTCTTTTGTGTTCTTTGCTTGTAGTCTTCATCTTTTGGGCAAACAACAACTGCTTTGCGCTGGAAGCCTGCAAACAGGCACATTTTTCTCCTCTGCGCAGCTGCAGACACATTTGTCTGAAAAAAATGCAGTAACTTACTACACGTAGCTGTCATTATAAGAGTTAAGGAAGTCAACTTATGGTGTATAGACTTCACCTCTACAAGAGCTTGCAATGAAGTTTACAAATAACTGGACATAAAGATGCTGCATAATGCAAAGTTACGAGCTCATATCCATGTGTTAAAACACTATTCCTCCCACATCCCATAAATCCAGAGAAGTTCAGACAAGCATTTGTAGTAATATCTCAACTTTGTGTCCCCTGAATAAGTAAGTGAAACAACTGCTATTACAATGTAACTTTAATCCCAGTTAATTACTACATTATAGCCTATAACAAATTTCCGTAACCATTTTCCACTGAAGCTTCTACCTGATCCAAAATGAAATTCCGCTTCTTACGAGCCGCAATCTCAATGAACTTTCCAAGACACTGTGGAGCTCTCTGCAACAGTGTGTTCAGTTTTCCTGTATCTGCCATCTGACGCTTAAAACCTGCAACCTATGGAGAGATTTCCCAGAGTTAAAGGCGTCCTGATACACGTGGCTGACATTTCTTTGCTGAATGCTTTCCACCTCACTTCAGGGCTTGCTCAATTCAAGGCCACAGCTGCAAACTCATAACTGACATTCTCAAGCCTCCGTAAGACAGAGCTTTATAAACAAAGACTCTAGGTGAATCCATGGAGCTGAATTCAAGGTATACTCATCACCACTAATTCCAGCTGAATGTTCTGAGAACAGTGATGTATACAGAAATAGAAATACATTAAACAGTCAGCAGCAGCTGACTAATTCTTATATAGTACAACAAAAAGCTTCAGAATCCTGCTGTGCCATGTACAAGTTAGCAACTCAGCAAGATAAAAAAATCCTTAACAGTCACTAGCTAACAAATAACCAGTTTCTTTGATACCAAAGAACCTCATGGCAGCCGAAGACGTTGGATTTGTAGCAAGTCTTTACTATATTAAGAAATAAAAGGTCACATAATTACTTACCATCATTTTGTCCATAATAGTATTTGTCCCAAGAATGTTGTATTTCCCAGGATTTGCTGCTGCATGTTTGGTAACCCATGTAGTCTTGCCAGCCCCAGGCAGGCCAATCATCATCACCACCTATGATGACAAGTTCTACACTTGAGATGCTAGTTCAAAGATTTTTTTTAACATGCAACTTAGCCCAGCAAGCCTAATGGAAACTGAGAGGGGACATGGCATGTCAAGGGGGTGGTGTGTGGAGGTGGTGAAGAGTCATGGGATACTAAGTATTAAAGCTCCCAAACACAAATGTCAGAGTGTGGTATAAAAGTCTGCTTAACTCCACCATTTCCATCCATCTATCTCAGCAACTTCAGGATTATCACCAAGAAACTTACCTCACAATCTTTCTTCTGCTCAGGTCCCTTAGGTCCTCGGACCCTATCCTCCAGGGGGACCTTCTGGATGAAGGAATACTCTTCGGGTACAGGAAAATAAGGTTCCTCTTTCTGACCGAAGTTAAACTCAACTGCGCAGTTATGGCAGAGAACATGTGGGAAGAGTGGTCGCCCATCTAGAACTTCCTTGCTTATTTTGAATGCAACACCAAGCTCTTGTCCATTCTTGGAATATGAGAGTTCCACTTCATCACCATCAAAATTCTGTTTTTCAGACAAAACATTAGTTTGGATACAATTACCTCACTCTATAAAGCTGTATTAGTCCCTCCCCTATACTGGCTATACTCAACTTCTGCAACACTGTTATACATAAAGGAACTAAACAAAACTTTGTCTTTTGAGTTACTATCAATGATCTTGTTTTAAGATCTGATATTCCATTAAAGGATGCAAAGACATTCGTGACTAAGAAATCAATGCTGGCAGCAGTCACTGTTGTTAATACCTGCTCTTTCTACCACTTGTCTTGCTCCCACAATTTTATACATTTTCTTCACTGCTTCTCACATCAAAGTAGTCTAAAAGTTCAAGAATGCTTTTCCTCAAAAGAAAATATAAGTGAAACTTACAGCGAAACATCCAATCACATCATTTTCATCAAACTTCTCACCAAAGTCTTCAGTCTCACAATTGCATGTCTTTATTCCTTTCAGAGAATATCCATAAGAAAATTCTTCTTCGCCTGAAGAAATATTTTAAACCAATTAAAAACAGGCATTCCCACCTAACCCTTGAGAAAAAAAAAAAATCACTTTACAGCCACTGAAGTAAGCTGCTGAATGTTTTTATTAATGCCAAAACAAGCTATCACCCCCAACAGCCAGACAAGCTTGTTCTTCTATTCAAGAATACTCTCACTTGAGATTGAACAACAGTGTTTCCTCATCCCAGTTTTAAGAGCCTTATGCTTCTGGTTCCAGATTCATGCTGACAATAAAGCTGTACTGCCAGATAAAGACATGAGCAAGTATTTTTAAACTCTGAAGACCTGATTATGCAGTGTATACCTGCTGCAACTTAGTCAGAAAGGCTTTCTGAATTCAGTCTCCAGTAGCACTTACCCCTCCCCATTTTAAAGGGAGTTTAGCAGACATTCAGCCTATGCGACAGCTCAGGATGAAGCTGTAAGGAACAAGCTAACAGGAAGTGTCAAACACGAGGACTCAGGTGGAACTTCAGTACTTAACTAGAAAGCTCCTGCTAATGTCAGAACATACCAACCCATACACATTTCCCCCAAAAGTGTGTTTCAGCAACTAGTTATAAATATTATCACAACTGTTTGCCATATATCTAACGAAGCTGCACTTCCTTATTTCCAGCTATTTTCAGAAATTACATTTCTTTCCCGCCCCCCTCCCCAGGCAAAAGAATGATAATGTAGTTATCCAGGAATTTTTCTTCACTGGTTAAATCTGATACCATGCCCACCATTAAAGAGGGGGGAGGGTAACCCCCCCTTCCTACTTATGACACTACAAGGAAAGGAGAAATCCTTTATCTTGTCAGGTATTCAATAATGTTCTCCACAAGCCCTACTTGATCACTGGAAGAATTAACTCTTAAATGATGTACCCTTATGGGCCTGAATACTTAATGGCTTCATTTGATCCTAGAAATAAGCTTTCTGACACCATGTCCAGTGAATGATTCAAATTAAGAACACTTTTCAGAACACACAGCCTACAACCACCAAGCTTTTCCCATCTGCTTCAGAAAACTGATTTAAAAATTCAGCCCCACACACAATACAAAAGTCATCAAATGTTAAGTCTTACCAAGCAACATTCCACTTGTGTTCAGTGACCAGCCAACTCGCACCTCATGTATGTCAATGTCTTTTGTATACAGGTGTTTAACAGGAATCTTTTCTGTAACCTATTTTTAAATTATCCAGTAAAAGGTAAGCAGTATTTATTAGACACTAAGACAGAAACACAAAAGGTAACATTTGGAACCTTTACACTTCGGTTAAATCTTTGCTAAGTCTAAGTAATCATATTCTGCAAAAGCAAAATATGTTTAAGTATGTGAAACCACAAGCCAATGACTAAATAGCTGTACACCTCCAGACCTAGCAATGAAGATGCCAGATACCATATACCTTCAACACCCTGTCACAGCAGTCCCTCTCTGTGGCAAAAAGCCTTAAGTCCTTTTGGTACTGTATTAAAACCACAAGCAAGATGTGTAAGTTTGCGGTTTTTCTAAAAAAGAAAATGTTGCCATAACATTGGGATTAACAGTAAATTACTTTGCTAATGAAATGTGGCAATGGACAAAAAAAAATGCTTTATAGAGACTGGTGAAAATATTATACTCATCCCTTTTCACTGTAAAACTTCCTGGGCAAGTTGCCAGTTTCCAAGCAACATAACCAGATTTTAAAAAACAACCCTAACAAGAAAAAAGAAAAAACAAACCACCTAAAAGCACTGCAATGTGTAAGCAAACAGCTTTTTTTAACTGCATTTACAGACTTCACCAAACTGAAGTGAAAAAACCTATCAGTATCCTATCAGTTTCTACAACTATTTGAGTCAGGTGACTGAGGTGAAACTGATTTGAAAGTGAACAGGGCAACAAATACTGACATCAATTTCACTTCATTTGCCTTGCAGAATTATAGGTATCAACACAAAAATCACTCCATGCAAGGCCATGGAGAATGCCATCACTACCCACTCCTCATGGTAGCAGTTACATTTGGAAGCACTAGAGGAAGAGAACAGAGCAAGTATTTATATACACAGGCACATCAAATGCAAAGAAGCCATTAACATTGTTAATTAAAAAAGGAAATAAATGCATCAAGCTTTGTGCCTCCTGTTACTCTTTCATCAACAAATTGGAGAAATCAGTTTATTACAAGGCTGTCTGCTCTTTGCCATTCTTAGCCGTCAGAACTCTTGCTAAACACACATGTTCACTGCATTAAGCCAGAATTATTCATGTTGGAAGGGACCTCTGGAGGTCATACAGCCCAAATCCCTGCCTAGAGCAGGTCAAACTCGAAGAATAACTAGAAACAGAAAGGACTGCTGGATAATTTATACCCCTTTTTTACAAAAGCTTTCCACAATCTACACAAAGTAAAAGCAAATGCCTGCCTAGAGAGTATCAGCATTCTTCAAGTGTTGATGCATGAGATGCCAAATAGAATTCTTGGTGAAAAAATGAGACCAAAACTCTCACACATTCAGGGCAAATGCAGGGTTTGTGTTTTGCTTTTTCTGTTTTTTAGTTTACATGGAGTTCTTATAAAAGAAGAAACAGTTTTCCAAGTTGAGCCATCTTTTATCAAGAACATTTCATGGACTCATACAAAGAAGGCTTTCTCAGAGTCCTGTGCACATGAATTAGTTTAAACTAAGTCCAAAAAGACTGACAAATATAAACAATATTCTATTTAAGCAAGCAAAACACTCTCCCATAAACATTAGTTTAACTCACCTTCATCTCAAAGCAGACTTTGCCTTTAGAAACTCCATAGGAGGCTCTCCCTCCAGCCCAAAGGAAAGCAAAGCTTTCCATGGTCAGAGAGGAAGCACTAAACCGGTCTCTTGAGATTTTAAAATGCAGGTCACAGTTATCTGTTAACATAAAAATCATTCTGTTTACTGTTATTACAAAATAAAGTACTGCTGTCCAATTTTATGCATTAAAGGTGATGTCAGCTTTCAAAGGTGATTTTCAAGACAAACTGCCAGCAAGTACTCAGCATCTTTCATAAAAGAAACTGAACACATGCCTAGGTGGAGCTGCAGGCTGAAATTCAGCCAAAAATCTTAAGCTAACAAGAATAATTCTCAAGGTGCCATCTCACTTCTGTCACCCAATTTCCCTCTGTTTTTCCTCACCTGCTTATAAAAACTGAATTTCACTTTATCTATTTGAACCTTCTTCGTATGTTACCTATTTCTGTCAATACAGAGCAAAGGAATCTGCAATGTGCTCTTTGCAGCATGTCCTAGAGACCCTTTTATGAAGTGGTCTTACTGCTCAAGCCCAAACCTAGAAGCTGCCAAAAAGTAAGAAAACACACATTTTTATTTAAGTACTGAAAGTAGTCTTTGGTTCATATAGTCAATTAGCAAGTCCAGTTAGATTAAGTCAATTAAAACAAAGGCAGTTAAGTCAAATACAGAAACCCTAAGAACATGAAACGTGCCAAGAGAGCCTCCTTCATCCAAGAAGCATGACCTGCACTATGAATTCACCTATCACTCTAAGAACTTTAGTGGAACCTTGGTTTTACAGGCATCTTCAGAGCTGCACACCATGAAACTGCAAAACAATCTTCTAGTAGGTTTCAGAAGGATTATGCCTAATGGTAAGATGAGGTGCAGCATACAGCACTTGGAATTCCCCAGAGCAAGGAATCCATAGAAGCAGCTCCAAACCTATTTGACAGTTACAAGAGAGGAGCAGGAGCCAACAATGAGGCCAGCAGCGAGGAGCTGTGCTCTGGCATAAGATGTTCATGCAGGCTGAGTACACTGAAGTGCAGTCTCTTCCCTGTATTACTGTCAGCTCTCATGCAGGAGATCTTTTGTTTGCATGCAGCTATCCCAAACTGCAGCAATAATATTTGTGCTCCAAGTGTTTTCTCATTAGTACTTGTATTTGTTGCATGAAAACCACATCAAATCAAACAGAGGAAACCCACCTCTGCAGATTACTTTTACAACAACAAGTGAGAAAAGAATTTGAAGTTACAGCTTCCTTTTAAGACAAGGCTGATAAAAGGCACTTAAGAGTGCTAAACCTCTTACTTGTCTGGCTCACAAGGTCCAGGAAAGGGAGTGCTAAATCGTTACACAATTGAGTCTTAAAGCTACATTTGAATTTGGTCTCCAGTTTGTTGACACTTGATATCACAAAGTTTGTTCAGAAAAAAATTTTTCCACTAGAAATAGCAATAATGAAAAGCATCTGTTTCAGGTTGGGATTGAGAACATCAGAAGCTGCCACAAAGGTTAACAACTAGAAACTGGAGACTTAAGTTACCAGGATGTCAAGGATGGCACACTCAGCAATTTATGTGGCTGTAAACTAACACCTCCTTCCACGTCAAAGCATTTTGTCAAAGCAAAAAATCCCATCCGGAACTACTAGTATGCCAGATAATGCCAAAATTTAAGCTTTCCTTCCATGGCACTTTAAGAATCCAACAAGTTCAGACTGCTCAATTCAAGTTTTCTAATACTGCATTAAATCTTTATACTTACCCTCACAAATACACATTCAACTCTGTCCTTACTGTACATCAGAGTAATGGTAACATTTATAACCTGCCTCAAAAAACCCCACCTGTTTGCAGGTACTTGTCCATTCCTGTGCTGTGCTGCTCAAATCTCTCTGCCATTCCACTTGTACCAATCACCACTCCAACAGGCTGTGTGAATGGCTCATTTTTTTTCAGGAGGCCTTGCCAGATTTTATTAAATTTATGAGAGCATGTGAGAAAACACTCCACTAGTCTGTACATAAATAGGGCAAGTTATGCAGGAAGCTCACTTCACAAACTATACTTTTGTAACCACCCACACCACTGACTCTCCAAGCTTCCTGAAGCAG